TTCGGTGGCTTTGGAATTTTTTGGGTGGAAATTATTGTCAGTGCTTCTCCTGACGCATGCCAAAAATAGAACGTCTGATGAAATTTTGCTCACTGTACTCGTATATGCAGTCAGCGAAGAAGACAGGAAGGACCCCCGTACAGCAGTTTTTGCAGTATCTTTGGAAAAATGTCAGCACAAATTGATTGATTCTCCTCACACAAAATAAAGATGATTTACTCCAGATTGTTGGCGGTGGTAAATTGAATCGTTTCTGATTTTATCTCAACTTTATTTACTTGTTATCGAATTATAGACTCTTCGGTAATTCAGCCCGAAATCTAAAACTAGAACAGGTTTCATCGCTTGCAGTGAAATGTATTATGTATACTCGCAAACATTTTTTATAACCCCTCGTAAACCTGGCCTGGTTCAATGGAAATGGTCCACAGAACAAACAAGAGGAACAAATTCTACACATACTCCTGCGTTAATTCATTTAATTATATTGTCAAGCCCGTCCGAAATCGCCGATCCAGATCTTCGGGTTTCACAAGGTCGCATTCGACCAGCAGTCTTGGCCAAGGGATGGATTGTACGGACGTCTAAAAGGATCTTGAGTCTTTTCTTATTGAATTAAGGATATATAAAAGAGCAATAAATCGATGAACGCAGAATCTAATTCAACGTTTGGAATACGGACACCAACATCCGGTACTGACCTCACAAATGGACAAATATCGTCGGGACTTGAGGGCTCATTGAAGCAGGGAGCATGCTCCGAATGATTTCTTCTGAAAACGACGTATCAGAAAATCGTCATTCACTGCGTTGGTACTTGCACGTATTATGATTTTCGCGGAAAAAATCGTTCATTGCTGGCCAAACTTGATGTCGAATATGAAAGCGTGAATACTTTCTGCTAATAACTTTAGGAGGAGTTGATCAGATTGTTGATTAGCAAGTTCCTGTTGGTCGTTGGGCAAGCTCACAATGTCCAGTCGGAGGGGGCAGGCAATCGTTGCTTTTCACACCAAAACTCGGCAGAGGAAATATTTATAAATGCAACAGTAGGTACTCGGGGAAGAAAATGGATGCGACGATGGCGTGAGAAGAATGAGAGCACAAAAGAATTATTCCAATTCATTCATCTATCACGCCATGATTGTCCTGGCCGCATCTATTCGTTCTTGAAAATATTCTCGGGGTGATTCGAGAATCGGTGTCCCTCGGGATGAGGACTTTGCTCAGAGACCACTCCCATTGAATTGATCCAATACCCGCATGGAGGATTGTTTCGGGATGAAAGTTTCAGTGCCTTCGGATTGCATGCTGGTCTGCGTCCAGTACCCCATGGGGATTTGGTTTCTCTCCAGCACACGAAGAGATCATTAATTTTCTTCATTTTTTATTATGTTTATTTCTTCCAAACTCAGCTCAAAAATTCCTTTTCTTCCGAATGTCCCAGGCAACGCACTTATTATCTCGTGATTTCAAGCATCATCCGCGCACGCTAAAGATTCAGCTAAACATCAGTCAATCGTTGATATTGACTCGTGGAGGCTTCGCTGTATGCAAGCAAAAGGCAATTGATGGTACAAAAGAGGAAAAAGAGTATTACAGTACATCGCACAGACACGGGAAGGATTCATGGGCTTTCAACAAGAGTCTCTCCCGTAACTTTTCCGCCCTTCATGTGCGCAAATTCTACTGGAATGCATTCAAGGTCATTGTACTATACTTGAAAGCTTGGATTGAGAATAAAAACCTTTTCGAGACTTCCTGCATACGTGCTGATTTACGACGGCTTGCTTTGCGGAACCTCCATTCTGTATCCCACCTATCAGGGATGCGATTTTCTTCGAATGTCTGAGAAATCAATTCACATCGTCCCCGCCAATGGCAATGATAATTGATTACTCGAACAAAAGCGGCCATCGTACTTAGACACATGAACAGTTGGCGTAAATGTTCTTTGGAAGCAGCAATGGGAGCATAATTTTCTTTTGGATTGAATCGTGCTATTGAATTAAATTACTTTGGAATGGTTGAAAATGTACGATATTAATGTACAGAAATAGACCCGGACATTCCACGTATCCTCCGATGATACTCAGGACACTAAAACATAGCATATTATATTTTTCTCATAGAATTATTACAAAGGAACTGCTCCGGTTCGTATGTTCACGGAGGGTGCAGCGGGGATGAAAAAGTCATTGTAAGGGGAATATCGTACTTCAGAGTCTACAATTCTACACGGTCTTCTTGCTATAGACGGGAAAACAAAAAGATTTTCCTTTTATTTGGCCATTCTCTATTCGAATCCAATATTTGTCGACGGAGTTTCCCATGTAAATGGATCACATGTACAGAACGAACACAGGAAGCACTGTTGGGGAATATTCGCATTTTCTTCTACGTAAAGGGCATGTCACACTGGTGGCAGAATCAGTGACATTCTGTCGTCAAGATGCGGCTCGCGTCAATGTCAAGGGCTTGTCGTGTCTTGCGAGAGATCCTCCCGAAGCCTAAAGTGCTCTGTGGCATCGCATTGACAAGAGCTAGATTGGGAACAGAGGACGTTTGCTAGTGGGTACTGGTCGGGGATGTATAGCTCTCACTGAGGGGGCGATTCCGCAATTCCAAGCAACAACCCCTACATGTGAGCTCGTCTTTTCGATAGCTACCCATCTATCCCAACGAAATGCGGATTTTCTTCAAACGTTCACCTCCATATTGAATCTGAAGCCTGCTGTTTTAAAATTATATTCGCGAGCCACAGGAATGGCAGGCTGGAAAGCTCAATTATTCTGCAGTTGGTGTTCCTTTCGTATCAATAGTGGAGAGGGGAAAAAACCTTTCTACAGCCAGATCCTCTCTTTCAGGTGAGGCGCCCTGTAATACAGATGAGCCCCGAGGATGAGTCACGACGTGCTCGTATGGATGCGTCGTCCGGACGATTGCCGAAAAGGGGATTTCTTCCATCGCCTCGGTCGAATGGTTTGGGATTACAGACATTTAGCGTCCACGAAACAGGGGATCGTGGCAGGAAGGAATATGAAGCAACCCGAGGCGTAGATGGATCACGAAAAAAATAATAAATCCCATTTCTCAGTGTTGATGACGACAAGGAGCGATGCCCCTGCGGAAGTCGGACGGACATCCGACGGCGACGTGGAGCCCGAAAAGAGCCACCAGTTGACATTCTGCGGGGAGACGAGGACGCGTGGAACTGAGAAGCCGCGATCGCGGTGATGATTGATTCGCAGTTTCGCTCAACGGAGAGTGGCTGGACCTCAGAACGGTTTTCCTGGGTCGCTGACGGTGACCCCGGAGGTCTTCCAGGGCCATTAGGAAATGGAAGGAACGTGATCCCATGCAACGCTATAATAGGCGACATTCATCTTGCTAATAATTATGTGAATGCGTCCTATCTCAGATTTCAAGGCGCGAAATGGCGGAACAGTTCACGGCGTGAATACGTCTGCAGTATACTGTACAGTACCGTGTTGCCAGTTTCGAGGAAAAATGCCTCATGCACCCCGAAAATAAGGCCGGTCCTGTTACTCCTGTACACCCCAAATTGGGCTGAAGATAATTATCCGAGTAAGCCTTCTTCTCAGACGAATAACACTCTTGAATTACGATTGGGAAGCGAAGATGGGATGTTTTAGAGGCGGGAAGGCGTTCATTGGCAAGATAATAAAAAAAAGATAGGGTGTATTAGGAGTAACGCGAATCAGGAAATGTAGCGGAAGGTCGTCGGTAAGCTCAGGGAAATCAAAGGCTAGAGAAGATTACTTAACCATCAGGGGGGTTCATTTTCGAAAAATAGTTTATATTCAAAACAGTTTCATGAAAGTGAGACCCCCACATGCGGACACCTCGACCTGCGGACAATTCGACATAGGGACACTTATTTTCTAATAGAAATTAATAAAAAAGGCCCGTCATGAGGACATTGACTCGACATAGGGACATTTTGTGATAAAATTGTAAATACATGTCATGCCAAATTACAAGAAACAGATATTCACAACCCTAAAATTGATGTTAGAAAAGTTCTTAGACATTTCTCTCACCAATTTACCATCCATATAGCTAATTTTTAAAAATTACCTCCAGCATATAGAGGGACTTCCTTCTATATTTTTCACTTGAATGTTATTTTTTTTTTAAATGCCAACATTTTTATGTACTGTACAGAGGTATCAGTATTCAATTCACCAAATGTCCATAGTGTGTTGAAATTTATTGATTGAACCACTTTAAATTGGGAGACAATTATTATTTTCATGAAATTATGCTGAGTATTTTGTACACAAAACACCAATTAAAAATTATATAATGCAAGTCTAAGGGAAAATGAGACTCGACTTAGGGACATTTCAACTTAGGGACACTCTTGATGCACCAATTACGTCCGCATCTCGGGGTCTCACTGTTCACAAATGGGTGAGAAATAGCATATTTTTTAACTTTTGCTGCAGGTTTCAATTTTCTTCGATTAGCTCTTTTTGGTCCCACTTTGAAGCCGCCAGCAACATTTTTCCGGATTGGGGCAAAATTAGGAAAATATCATAGACTGAAAAGTTTTTCGTGAAAAGGGCACTGTTTTATCGTGGATTATAGTCGACCCAACAATAATAATAATAAAGAAATGTGCGCTCAACTGCTGCAGAAGAATGTGGTCACTGAATGTACAGTAAATGAGAGAATACTGTACTACAGTATATAACGCAGCACATACGCTTATTTACGACTGATATTCTCAATAACATCAGTTCCGCGACGGAGATAATTACTGTTTTCCAGAATGCTGATCGCAGTTCGGAGAAAATCTGCGTTGATATTCGCGATCATCGATTAGAGAATGCTCGAGTGCATCGCATCTGAATTACGCATTGTGCGCTTCAAATTTAACACAGTTTTCAAGGTGAATCCGGAAGTCATCAACAGCCGATGCCGTATTTTGAATGCCGGCGGCTGAATGCCGACGACGCTTCGGAACATAATCGTCAGCTGTCGGTTACACAGAAGCTGGAGCAGGATTGATGACGTCGGGCACTGGTCTTGATAGACGGGTCCGGGCTTTGACACCGTCGTCGAAGGAAAGTTTCTCGCCGGAAAACTTCCCTCATATCCGATAACTCAATCAATCTCCTCCACTCTTTCCCCGCTGCGAATACCCGACTGGGCCGATAAAACGGCTCGATTCACGCATCTGCCGTCAAACGATGGACCTCAACCAATGCTTCCGATACCCACGCCAGGCTTCAGCCGGTCTCTTTGTTGATCACTTACAACTTCATTCCTTCCATCTGTGATTCAGATCTAAATATTCTCTTGCTACTTGCACACCCACGCTCCATCACGAACCGCAACGAGGGTTGAGAGGCTTTCAAGCCCTAACAGCTTGAGTTGACACCTCCGTAGACGCGGTCTTTATTGCTTGCATCACGTAACAAGCTTTCGTTCTTCAGTGTGTTGAGAAAGCCACTGATTTCAGAACTTTTCCGAGTATCAAGAGACTAACATGAACACAATTTCCATTCCTTTGAATTGCATAATTTTAAAAATTCTCATCTTTTCACGCATCCGTATACAGTACAGTATTACAACACGTCCGTACGCTAAAAGACCTTTCCGAAATACTGTATTGTATGTGCAGAACTATAAAATTCCAATAGAAAAGGTGGAAGAATATCTTGAAGAAAGCATACAGTAGAGCTCAGGTGAATTATCAGTTCGGCTGTTTTACTACTTTTACAGCATGAGAATTGGAATGGGGGGGGGGGGGGGCTTCCAAATCTCATGCTNTTACTACTTTTACAGCATGAGAATTGGAATGGGGGGGGGGGGGGGCATTCCAATTCTCATGCTGTAAAAGTAGTAAAACAGCCGAACTGATAATTCACCTGAGCATAAATGAAAATTGGTGATGCCTCGAGGTTGGAACGCTTTGTACTTTCAAGGGGCTTTTCAAGGACGAACGGAAGAGCTGATCTGGACGAAACGGAAGATTCAAAACGTGATAAGAAGTACTCGCAGGGGTGAAAATATTTCATCAAGGATTGCGAGGGATGATGAAATATTTGTCTTTGGGACATGAAGATTTTTCCTTTTCGATATATTCTGATCCACTGTTACGGAATTCATTTTTAAAAATGTATTGGCAGAATAACTCATCCAAAAGTTTGATTGAGATGTAAAATTAAAAAGCGGGCATTTTGGATCACGTCACGAAGATTTGGTATTGCCCGTGGCAGCTGATTTAACTGAATTTTGCACGGTTTAAATTCAGCGAATTTTGAAAATGTCGTACCAATTAGTTTTTGCGAACTCATCTGTACTTAAGCGTTGGTTATCCTTTTAGGATTGCAACAGCAGCACTCAATTCACCGACACAATGGACCAAGATTATTCATTAGGATGACGATATCATTCAACTTTCTTCGTTCCTTCATATTCCAAGAGGAAGTAGATTTTAATGCCGCCAGCTAGCGTAATAGGTGATAGTCTTCTCACAGCAGCTACTATTTTTCAACGCTTGATCAAAATCAGGGTTTTTTTATTCAACGGTATGTCGTGTCTCCGAATCATTTGTGCACTCGTGTTATTCACGGTGTAACTGAGTACAACTTTATTATGTTGCTGTGTTCGTGTTCTTCAGAAACGTTAAAAAAGCAAAAAACATTAAAAAGCGAACTCATTAACGGCACTTTCACATCAGGCCTCTGCACTTGGTAACGGGCGATGTAACTGTAGCATTTCATGAGTTCATTTTTTTTTTATCTCCAAGCAGAATTTGCGTGTGAACCTTTGGGTCCCATGTCTGAAAAAAAATTATTTTTCACTATTCATCCTTCATATTCAAGACTTATTTCAAGGGTTATTTAATTTTTTCAAAGTACTATATCAATTTATTAATTCTGTGCGCTGAAGAACAAGCGTTATTGAGTACTGTAGTACATTTCGATTTCTAAGAGGAATCCCTCTTATAGATTCCTCTTTCTAATCAAAAATCCGGTGATATTCCTAGGGGTTCGAAAAATTTGTCTTAGTCATCGACTAATGCGAAGCACTACTTTCAGACAAATCGCATGCATATTCCAAATTTCGAGAATGAACCCTAATCACGGGTTCAATGCGAATTGAACCTTGATTTCTTGAACTGTTATTCGGGTGCAACAGAACTGATCTAATGTCCAATTTTATTTTTTTTTTCAAGAATCATGTCTTGAAGTTTCTGAATCCGGAATCTGTTGAGAAACGGATTCCGGATCCGATTGAGATGTCGAAAAAGGTCTGTCTTGAAGATTCGGGATTCGCTCGGTATCTTCAAGGGATAATTTTTTCCAACATATAGGAAGTTTAAATCTAGAAATCGAAACTTCTTAAATTAAAAATACTGTAATTCAATTCCAACGACTGTATACATTTGTTGATTCATTTTTGGTACTTCCTCACTTGAATAAGAGATCGCTCCTCAAAAGACGACATACACAGAGATTCTGACCAGGGTTATTCTGGCCTGGAGTTTCCAGACGTTCCGCGGTCTCTCTAGGAACAAAATTAGAATGATGCGGAAGAAAAAAAAACGAACGTAGGATAAAAACTGCACAACATTCTGCATAGATGAAGTGATATGATAATGTGGGCTCATAAGGAGATCCCTCACAAGTGGGTTACGACTCTAAAGTTTGTGACTCCACCCACGTAGAGAACCCTAAAAACCGATTTCCTGACGAGCTCTTGGACATAAATTAATTCGAAAAAGGGCTGCGCCGGTAAAAAAAATTGAAAATCTTTGTTCGCATTTCAGAGGGGGGAAATCATGAGATACCCGATTTCCGGAGAAAAACGCTCATGTGACATTTTCGGGGCGATTTATTGGGAAATTTATCCATTACGCAAGATGCACTTGGCGGTCTGTTGATGGTAAGCAGTACAGGCGTTTGCAGACACGTGTCCACTAGATCAATGTTGGGAGGAGAGTTAAGCCAACGACGAGTGGCCTATAGCTCGGGAACTGCGATGACACTCACCGTTGAGAACGTGGAGGATGACTGTGTCAGACGAGCCATCAGCCAGAGCACAAGTGTAATTGCCGGCGTCGGATCGCTTTGCAGATTGGATCCTCAGTGCTTGAACCAGTACGTCTTGATGCAGACGATCCGAGGATATTGGAGAGACGCCGTCTTCGGAAGGCAAGATCCGCCGCCCGTCCCGGAACCAAAACACGACTGACTCGGTCGGCACTACCGCCTGAATGCGCTGAACTCGGGAGTCTGCACGTCCCGGGTCCGAGATTTGGCATTTGATGTCCACTGACGTCCCACTCTGGACGAAGATGTCCGGCGAACCGATTATCTTGACGCTGGATTCTGAAAAAAAAAAGAAAATCATTCGATCGTCAGCATTTGTCGATAACAAAGACCTCCAGGAAATAGCCATGCAACCTTTGCCTGCCAGGACGATACTCCGCCAGGAGTCACTGGTCGGAATTTTGCAAGCCATGCTGGGAATTTTGTTTTCGGAATCTCATCCATCATACGAAAGTTAGTTGGAGAATAGCATCCAGAAAAATATGTTTGTCGCATGTTAGGTCGGGGTGAACTTCGAAATAAAACATGAAGAATTTCCCTTCTGGGCTCGTCGACGGGAATAATTTTCGATCATGAAAGTATTCTCGCGATTCCTCCCACGCTTGCAACTTGAAAGGTTCTGCGGAAAGATGATCTTGACCACTGACTTCATCACATGGACATCATGAATTCATCACAAAGTTATTGATAGATGAGACCCTTTTACGCCTGGTATTTGGAGAGATTCGTAATTTGTAATTGGAGAGATTCGTAATTCGTAATGGTATTCATGCAACGCGGAAGAAGTCGAGTTTTTCCAACAGGCATTTTCCAAGTTGGACTTCCATAATATTTTTTACATTTGAATATCATTGAATAAATTGTGTCGAATATGCTGTCAAAATAGAATATCGAACACTTGCCGGAAGCAAGAAAACCCTCCAGCAACTTCAATCGTTGAATATTTTTTAAACCGCGCGGACGGAAACCATGCCATGTTTAAATCTGCACACGCCTCTTTTCCCATCGTCTTTATTTATTCGTCGTTGTTGAAGTGAATTCGTATCTAAAACCTGACGAGCATCTCGATTTTTCAGAATTTGCGGTCCTATCGACAGAGTTGAAAAATTTCCGTAAATGTCAAAACAGAAAATCAAATTTCAAGTACTGTAACTCAGTCAAAATTTGAAACGAATAAAAATATTTTATATCACATTATGTTAATCCAGCGTACTTCCCAAAGAAGTCAGACCTGTCAAACGTCAACTTTTTTTTTGGAATTCAACGCATTACCATCGCAAATTTGAGTTTTCTGCCCTATTTTCTGAGTTTCGAAAAAAAGGTCTCATATAAAAACTTCTGACCAGAACTGATGCCGCGGCAGTATTTCACCACCTTGGTTTTCTCATATCCGGGGAACTTTTCAGTGATGCAAAAGCGTCTACTGTATAGATTCAACAAATATATTTTACTCGTTCCAAAAAGAAGGCCGAACCCTTCAAAAAGCATTCGGCAGAACAAAGGGACGACGAACAAGTATTTTATTACTGTGCACATTCTTGTGCCAAGAATTTGACCTGCGAGCCAGAAACCTTGGTCTCGGATTTCCTCTGATCCACCTGCTAGAAAATAAATACATTTCAACATTCTACCGCACATAAAAATGTCTTTCGTTAGCTTTCTTAATCGACCATCATGTAATGTACTGCACTAAAACAACGGATGGCTAATCTAAAATGTACGTGTTTCTGACTGATAGAATCGTTTTCCAAAAGATTTCCATGACATTCAAAATGTAAGGAGAAACAAAATTCAAATTTGAAATCATTTGAATACAGAATGCTACTTCAGCCCCTCTCACTGCATGTCATCCATCGAATCCTAAAGAGCAGTGTATTCCTCCAGTCGCATAAAAACGCGAGAAAGACGGGATTGAAGGATTGACCTTCGGAAAGACAAGACGAATGCAGTTGTCCTCAAGTGCAAGGTACGGTAATGCATTCTCCCTCTGTACGTCAACGACTGCGTTGCATTAGAAATCTGCAAATAGTCGGGAAATAACGGTAGCAAGAGGGATACAAATGGTCTGCATGCTGAGAATGCCAGGACCAGACCCCGTCATACGGCGATTGATTGGTTTTTCATGTAAGCTTCCGCACAGATATGCAGCGAGGAACTCATTCCACTCCCAAGAACGCTTCCACGATTCGAAGTCTCTTCCATGCGGAAAGGGGACCGAAGTGCAGATTGGGGTCTCACCATCGGTGGCCTGCTTTTGTCCATCATGCGTAAGAGTAGCTCACTGTCTCCGAGCGATACAATGAAAAATAGCTAATCCGCGATAGGGTTCTAGGCTGACGAAGCCCCAGCGTCCGTGCACAGAATATCATTTTGGACATCTTCACATGGACATTCCGCGTCTGCATCCCCGACGATAAGCAAAAAAAAAAAAAAAAAACGTTCCGCTCGCCCTTCTTGATCTTCGCTCGTCCGGAAATGAGTTCGCACACAAACGAGCTCGTTTCTCGCCAGCGATGACAGGGAGCCGCTTTGGAATCTCCTCATCTAAGAATTTTGGTTTACTGGAGGGCACAATCAGCGTTAAAACTTAACATCGGGGTCTGTTCTGGAGATGCGTTGCCATCTGGATCCACTGCGAACGGATTCCCTCATGCTTAACGGAGCAGCAGGGCACAGCGGCTGTGGGGATCACGCCTCATTCCGAATTCAGTTTCTTTGAGACGCACACGCCGACCCCTCCGGGGGTCACCGTCCTAGAGTGAGACTTTGTGAGACACCGGTTTACGCGCAATATGAACATGCTTTTCCGCTTCGTTCGTTTTCGTCTTTCTCTTCCAGCGAGTAAAAAAACCACACTCCCATGGTTTTATCGCTCATAAAACCAAGAAAATCCCTTTCCCTGCTTCATAACTACAAATCAACTGAAGACCTCCGGAAGGCGATGCACATTCGGGGTTTTCAAGAAAAGCTTTCAATTTCGCCCTCCTCTCCAATGGAACCAGCAGAGTCCAGATCTCTTCTCGTATGGTCCAATAGAAATCCGTTTTTCAAGGTATCCGACAGAATGCATTCACTGGACATAAATCTGTCTATCCGGAACTTCCCGTAGATGCAGAATGACGAGAAACACAAAATTTCTATTGAAAACTCTTGAGTGGGCGCTCCAGGCAAAAAATCGAGCGAGCTGAGGCTCAGAATTCTGCTGAAACGCTGCGAGAGTGGATCTTGTATGAAGCGAGATTCACTCGAAAGGAATTATTCAAACAGCACTGGACATGCCGGAAATATAGTGGTTCAACGTTATCTATACTTTCATTTCTTTGATGCACTAAAAAGTTGAATTCAGAATGTTTCCCTCAGCTAGCTCAAATTAAATTTTGATGCACCCACGTTTCCCTCAGATTCGTGATATATTCTGCAAGCACATATTTTCGCATGTACAGTATAAAATTATATACAGTCCCGTGTTACCCCTGATACAGGGATTGGATGTAAATAGGTGTGGGAAGTACGTCAGATACGATCGAAAATCTCGCCTTTCCAACATACATTCGAAAGGAATTGAAAATCTGTTGAAAATGGCAGTAGAAACTAATTCTCTGTTTGATCATCGGTCTTTGCAATTCAAATTTTGGGAAGGGGCTAAAATGACTGCTTGGAATGCATTAGAAGGTAGTCACTTTCCTCAAAATGAGAAGGAAAAGCTAAAAAAAAACACCTTATATGCTCCCCCGCCGCATGCAAATATATTTGAGCCAGTGACTAAGAAGTACTACTTAGCTCTTGACAACAATAATCTGCATATGCTAAAAAAGTAATGTCCACGGTGGCTAAAAATGTTAAACTAATGCTTTTCCATGTCATGGCCATCAGTGATTGCATTATTTATGTTATGATGATTTCGGTTTGATTTTATATTTACGTTGAACATTCAACGCACAATTTTACAAATGTATTTACAGCATATCATTGATTCGAAGAGAGCTCATGATGCTTGGAGATAAACTCCAATCATTGAAAATACATTAGACGGAGTATCATATGCTACTAAACTGAAACTTCATTTTTTTCCCTTTTCTGTGAGACGCTCGGCGGATGAGAAGCGGGGCATCAATATAGCAGAAATGATAACATTCATTATTGTCACGATCAAAGACTATCTATTACTGGAAAATGTGAGCCGCGAAATCTCGCCCATGTGGAATTGCTAGATGAGATTTGTTCCTGATCATTTGTGGGTAAACTGAATCCGTGCTTTCGGGTGCTGTTTTGTTCTCATTTAAAAAAAGGGACGGTCGTTATCTGCGTGGAGATCAGTATAGATTTGTATGAAAAATTTCATGGATATCCCGCAGCGAACTTTGAAGTCGATAATTTCGCAGCGACAGTGTAAACTGCTAGCATCTAAGATATCTTTAAAGTCTTCAACAGCTCGCCAGAGGAATAACTTGAAGCTAAGAAAAAAGCGAAGTTTGCCGCGAAATAGCAAAGTCAGGGAATAGTACCCCATTGTTTACCCATCAAATTTATTTCTTCAGGCGGTCGAAAATTTTCAACTTTCGTCATTAGGAATATTGAAGTCCTCGTCTACAATAATGCAGTTGAATTTTTATCCAGAACATTATTAACGGGTGGAACGTCTTCTACTCAGCCGTCACCAGCAAATGAAGGACATGTTTTGTGTGCATCTTCACAGAAAAATTCAACAGAAAAATCAACTCGAGAAAAACGAGAGGCTTCCCAATGTCCCCCGAGGCACGAAGACCTCCGTGTGCCAAGACATTTTGAGAGATGACAGTATGATGCCAGAGGTTATACTTATGAAGCAAGACGAGGGCCAAATTGTTTATTTTGGGAAAAGTTCACGTTCCGATGGTCCCCAAATCTTCCAACAACCAGCGGTGCGTCATATCTGATACTCGTCGAAGATTTCTTGAAGATGAATTAGAAAAGAAGCGCACCCGGAAGTATTTTTGCTTGTTTTTCTTTTTGTGCGCATGTTTGACAACGGGCCAATGTTTTCGTCTCCTTATCTGTTCGGACGGGGACATACTCTTCAAAGATGCTATACTTCCCTATAATAGCTCATCAACGCTGGACTCGGGTTCATGAACTAAAACGCCGCAATCCGCGATTGTATCGCGAGTCGACGACAAGAAAACTTTTCGTCATTCGGATCAGAAAGATATGGATCAGAGTAAGCCGTGCTGACTCCTTTGAAAGATGCACACCAAGGCAAATGCGGGAATTCTGCGAAGGGGCATCTCTATAGAATATATTCTATGTGCGAAAGAAAAGAAAAAATGGGAACAAGGATCGATGCTGATGTTCGAAAAGTTCCACTCTCGGTGGACATCAGTGTCATTCTGACGTGCGCGGTCTTCCTACGTCATTCCAGTTGGGATATCCAGTCGAACTAGTTGGCTATTTTTATTCGTTCTTCTTCAGCAATTCCGAAACTCTGCGGAAATACAATTGTGACCGAAGTGTACGATGTCGGACGCCACTGGCAAACACAGAGCAGCGAGCCCCGAAATTGAGATTTCAAGTCGAATCTTACGCGGCGGCAAGTACTGTACTGTACTTCGATGGCTTCCTCTTCAAGTCAGCAAATGCGCCATGAAATTATCTTTCTTTCAATCATTGCACAGTACGCTGAGTACGTTGGAGAGAGCACAGTAAATAGATAATGGATTTATTCACTGTTAAAGAAGGATATGTTGATTCTACCGGTGTCTCAATGGAGTGTTGAGAGGAGAACGCATCCATGTCGTTTGCATGCGATAAGAGGTAAAACTGAAAGACAGTGTTATGATTTTAAGAACAGAAGTGTCTTTTAAATGGATTTTGGAAATTTTTAAAGAAAATATTCATCGCAGTAGAGCATTATCAATCATTAAATGTGGAAATTAATGGTTCGTGCATTTTTACGTGGAATCATAAAAGTATTTATGTAAAGATTTCACAGAACTCTCCTCGAAATGCATCCGAGGATTGAACAAGATATTATCAAGATATCGAGATGGATCAAGTTGTTATTAAAAAATTTTTTTTTATTTAAGCTGTAAGACATGAATGAACTGTAGCAAATATTTCTGAGAGCCAGCCAGATTGCATGTTGGGCGAAGTATATCTCTGAATATAAATGCAGTTATTTGACTCTCTTTACAATGATGTTGTCTACAACGATTTTCTCCGAATGACGTATTTATTTATGGTCCCACAGTGTTTTCTCCCCATTTTATATAGGTTCTCTGCAACTAAAGTCTCTCTACAACGAAATTTTTCTGGTCCCTTGAGTTTCGTTGCAGAGAGAGAGAGAGAGTCCACTTGTATTTTGCATCAGCTGGCTCTCGAAGGATTTCAAGAAATTGCATGCAAAGTTTCGGAATTGCTGAAGCAGAATGAATAAAAACAGTCAACTACATCTCTGAGCTAGAAATACAGTATTCTACCTCAGCTGGCTCTCGAAAATTTTCGATCCGTCGGAGTACAGTAATAATAAGTACTGTATAGTAACTGATCTAAAGGATACTGCAACAGCGCGCAATCAACGAATATATGAAAATTCAATTTGTGATCGTTCGAAGTTCAGGCTTCCATCATTCAGGAAGCGGAGCAGGGCAAACATAGAAATTTCCGAGAAAATGCGGCGAATGCGCTCTCATAAAAGCGGTGAATCGACATGGATGCAAAAGTGAATACTTACCGACAACTTTGAGCTCGACGACCCAGCTTCTTTTGGGCTCCGTGCTGATCTGGCACTCATACGATCCGGCGTCAGAAAGCCGGGTGCTGGAAATTTGCAGCCCCCAAACTTCTGAATCTTGCGAATGGATTACCCTGAATCGCCCGTCTTGTATAAAGGTCGAGTTCCCGACAGACAAGATCGATGAGTCACTTCGTCGTACCCATGACACCTGAAAAAAAGAAAGGCTCAGGGTGAAACAAACAAAAAGACAGATATAAGCGTACATAATGTATGTACAGTATATACGAAGAAATGCTTCGTATTGCGACAAAATCCTCGCTGCCGCGTTACGTCGGAATAATTTTTCACTTCACGCACAAGGTGTGATACATTGCTCGCGATGCGGAATTTTGGTGCAGAGAACCCGCTTTTGGTGCTCAACGCCGTGAAATACCCGCACAATGAAACTCGGCAGCAATCTTTCATGACGGTTTTATTCGAAGAGACAGCTCGACGAAGCCAGCACAGTACTAGTCTGAACTGAACATTAAAACATATTTGGCATCTTCATAGAAATACCGACCCCTGAATATCAAAGATTAAGCTTTCGATACACTCAGAATAGCGATATTGTCATGCCTGCGAACCATCGCGGGAATTTGGAGCTGGTGTAGGAATGCCGTCGAAATGTGATTCCTCGCGATGGAATAAAAATAACATGCTCGCGGAGGCTGTGTATATTTCTTCGTAGAACACGGGAATCCGCAATAAAGCGATGAGGGCTACTCTGCGATAGAAAATCGTTTTCGCGCAGTTCGAATGAATGATGCACAGCATTTGAACTTCGTAGATATCATTGTTAGGAGCTGATCGCACGGAATTGTTTGCATAATGAAGCTGACCGCGTTATTTTTCCATTTGCGTGGAATATTAGCCGAACTCGGATTCCGGGTGACATTATTTGATCAAAAGCGCATGTAGCGTCAGATACGCCCGTCTTGCGTACAATTTGAGGGCGGTCGGGGCTTGACGAAGACGAAGTGCAACAGGATGGAGAACAAAGGAGCCGCAGGAAGCCAAAAACACGGCATCGTTTCGGAATACTTCATGAATATTCATAGCAAATATTCAGGTTTTCGACTTCAGTGTATGTGGCGTGACTCTTGGGCCATTTTGACCCGGGACAATGGTCTCCCTAGTGCTTTCTTCTTTAATGCAAGGCTATTTTTGCGCAAATAAGCCGGCTCTAGCTCAGGGTATATCACAGTTTCAAGCCCTTTTCCAAACACACTTGCGGCTAGGGTTTGCATGAGTCGGCGTGCTTCAAGAGCTCTCACTGAGCATTCGAATGAAACCACCCCCCATCATTTAGACAGTGAAGGGCGGATTTCATGCATTAATGAAAGGGTCGGAATGATGCCTACATCCACCATGCATATCCGCATTATGCCACAACTTTCAACGAACCCATTTTATGCACCACCAATTAAAGGCTAAGACTCCCTCATATACCAGCGCACAAAAGAACCCTTGGAAACCTGAGGTTTCATCCAATTAAATGCTGAGTGTCCCTCATTTTACGAAATATTTGCCTCGAAGAAGAGGTTCCTAATCGTTTTACTATTGCAGCGCTTAGTCTGAGAAAAAAAAAAAACGGGGCCCGTCGGGCAAATTAGTTTTTGTGGTCTTCGCCTTGAGTTTGAGTCTGGCAGGTATAATTCCTTCTTGTTGATCATGCTTTTTCGATTACACACATACCTTTTCAAGCGACAATTTATATTGATTTTGCTTTTGTTCCTTATCCTCTTCGTTCCCTCTACTTTTTCTTTCATTTTCCTAGAGGGATGGATGCGGAGCCCCTGAGAATCTGAGAAACGTAAGGCCGGGTCAGGGCACCCCGGAACACTGATTGAGAACCCCGTCTTACATACATATTGTAGACTTTCCGGTGTTAGACTCTTGGAGAAAGCCTTGCACGTCGGCACGGCATACTTTGAAAAACAATGCACAGTCGCCTTTACATTAATCTTGCGTTATTGCTTTGCCTTCGTGATAAGTTTCCGCAGAATCTTAGCTGCTTGTGGGTCCTTTCACTGACTCATGATCGTGTCATGATGAAAATTGTCCAACGTGCAGGAAGAATTCATGACTGAAAGCATTTCGTTGTTCCGCCAAGGATCAGGATTATCATTGAAATTAAGATACACTTTAGCTACGATGCGAGCCTGATGAAGTGAGCGTACTAACGACCTGAGCTTTAACGGAGAACCAATGTTCTCCTTCTTGTGATTTCCTCTCGTTGGGAGAACTCAGTTCCTCGAGTTCTCTTCGAGACTTCGTCGCCACGCCGCCTTTTAGCGGAAAATCAGGAGAATGATGAAAAGCGACATTTTCCCGGCGAAAGCTCTGGGATCGGAAGAGTGCTATTAGTTGGTAGTCGTCGTCGTTTTGCATAACTACACTTCCTCGATGCGTTTGTCGTGGCATGCAACGTCGTGTCTGATGAGTGAGTCGATGCGATTCCACTTCGTACACCCAAAACCGACGAAGGAATGGAGCCAGGGATGCATTCGGGAAGCTCTTGAGACGAAAGCATTAGAACCATTGGACTGGGGCGAAGACTTTCCGCGGAGAATAGATGGCGAGGCGACAAACGGAGTTTGACAGATGCTCTAATTGAAGCAACAAAAAAAAAAGCAAAAACAGGCCCGGACTTTTAAAACTTTCCTCGAAATATATGGCGAATTTGTTCCCTTTGGCGACTCGTGACCCGGTCGTATTCGTACCCGTCGGAATAACAAATATCACACTAGCTTCTCAGCAACTTGGCAGCATTTTCCGTGAGTGCGAACACAAATCCTTGCTTCACAAGGTCCTTTCTTTAAAGGCTTGGATGAAGATTTCTCGTTCAATTTTTCTTCTTTTTTATCGTTGTTGGAATGCTGGTTAAACGCGACCAGCAGTGCTGGATCTAACGCGTCCTTCATATCTGTCGTCGCGTGCTCTGGATTACTTCATGACGGTTTTTCGCAATACTCGCACCCAATTCTCTCGTTTCGTGACACACAGATTTGCTTTTCGAGATAAACAGAGCTGGGTTTCGTTGCTGCAGATTTCATGTGCCGTAATAGCGGCACGGAAAACGGATATTAAAGCCATCCACCTTAATTCAGAACGGGTGCATTTCGTAGGAATTCCGTAACTTGGAGCTTCCTCAGCCGGGAAAAAGTTACTTACGTTTGGACAAGATGAGGCCATTAATTATATTAATACCGCGAATGACGTAGATTAGATGCAACACAACATATGCATTCATGGCTTGAAAAAAAAGGCGGCAGGGGATGTAATTTTTAATTAATTAATCGATGGATGCACCGCAATTCTCGTGCAGTTACTTATCATGCTACAGCACTTTTCACCAATAGAGCATCCGTTAAATTCGGCGTGGCCTATATTTAAGATATTCAAGCGTAGTCCACAATTTTGACGTACATTCAGCAGGCGTATAATCGAGATAAATTGACATCTGCAATCAAATTCATATTTTAGTCTGGTGTTTTATTTATTTAATGGGATCCTGATGCTTCCTGTAAAGATCTATCAAATGCCTCTTACTATCATGTCATGCCTTGACTTCGGATTATACTGTGCATTCACAATTTTTCCTCTTTTTTAAATTTTTTTCAGGAAAATTACTGTACTTGATTTATTTTCTTACATGTGCCGCAGATCTTCCTCCGAAGCCATTTTTGATGGTAAAAATCCTTTTTCTGTCAAAATCGCGCAGATTAAAATCAGAGTACGGTATACAGCTTATAAATACTGTATTCGAATGGTGACTACGAATTGAAATACTGCACCGGAGCAATGCAGGCGTCATTTGAGTCGAGAGAAAAAAATGCGGCGGCCAAAAGTTGAAAGAGGATCAGTCAGTTGCACTAGTGAGTTTTTGATCGCCTCGCTCGTGTCAAGATCAGATGAAACTAACGCCGGACTGGGAACGAGAGGGATTCCGCACGAATGCATTACGAAGCCCGGGATCAGGCTCATCCATAAAAATCAGATCTGGACCTTTGAAAAATTACTCTCTGTGGCGGCTACCCGCAGTGCTGGTGGCATGGATCACTACCACGCCAGAATAGATGGACCATAATCAAGATGAAGCCATTGACGTCATCGTGCAATGAGGGATCAATGCAGTTTTAATGTGTGCCCTTTTATTCAGCGGCTACGCCACGGCGTGAAACTCTTACGCTCCAGCGAGGATAAATGTTTCAACAAGAGTAAAATCCGGGAAGAAGTTTTCGGGTCAAACGCAGAGGCTAGAATGGAAGATCAAGTTCCGGATTCAGCGGGATTCGGGGTGGTGAATGAAAGTCTCTAGTCATCTGTAGGATGATGGAACACCTCCGCGTTCATTATTTACGCTTTCCATGAAAGGACACGCGACATTTTTCACGCGTTCGCGCGTCGGCAGCTGATGAGAGCTCTCGGTGGTAACGAGAGAAAACTTATAGCCGAAATACAACAGGGAAGCCCGTTTCTGCTTCTGCCAAATACGCATGCTTTCGCAGCACCGCAGGCAGGAACAATGCAGAAAGCGTTACTTCAGAACAGTGCCATAACCGGTGAATGTGTTCGATGCAAGCTCATTTATAAAACTCGCTGCATGAGCCTGTCAGCGCAGATACCACGGGCCCATGACAGAAATTGCGATGCACCTTCAGCGCCCAGCTTCCAGCGCGAGGAAAAACGGGCTTAGCTTCGGTTTAGCCCTCTGATTTTTCTCCCCTGGAACCGGTGCACAGATTATGTGCCATCATTGTCAGTCGTAATCTCCTGTATCTTCTCGCGAGTACGCGACCTCGTTCTTACCGCTGCATGAGAAGGAAGACAAAGCGAAACTAACTCTTTCGCCGCACCCGTGGACTAGTGTTTTTCGGGAAACAGCTCTTTCCTCCGCCCTCCTCGGGATGCGATATTGCGGACGATAAGAATGTCTTTGTTTTGCAGCCTGGGAAAGCTCGTGCACTGCTGTCTGGCTTCCTCCGCAGCAACGTGATCTCACAAGGATTGAGGTGTTTGAGAAGATAGTCAAATAAAGCTCAGACGATTTTTGAAGCAATTCTATCAGCGTCTCGCTTTTGCTCACGAGCGGTACGGATGGTACGGATCTCATTAGCATCGAAATCGGATTTTATCTTGACGTCGCTGACGTGGACGTGTTCATTGTTCCGCGGCTCATTCTGCTGGAATAGTCTTTAGCGAAAGGATCCTGCTGGAAGTTGAGTTCGCTGAAATCACTGAGAAGTAATGTGCTACGCGGACAAGTACGATTCACGGGAGAAAAACAGTCACGGAAGGCTTCAAGAAGTGTCAGAGTGATGCAGAGACCATCTCCTCCACCGGCTCATTTCCCGTTGCCGGTAGAGCGAGGAAAAGAGAAAGAGAGAAAAGTGGATAAGCAGGAATAAGAACGGTCTTTGCGTCGTTTTGCCTTGCACTTGTAATATATGGTATGATTTTTTTTTTCCTTTCCGTCGGCTCCCGAATATTCCGCGTCATAGCTGTCGGCGTGGACCGTCATGCATCCGTCGGTAAGATATGAACGACTGCAGGCCCAAATCTTTCAATCTGGAGGACTTTTCCGTGAAGGACATCACTCGAGTTCTTCCTTCATGCTTGAGAGTAGGAACTGGTGCATTTCCCGTGCAGCTTGCATACACCATCTCAGCTGTCCACAAAACCATCCCCATTGTATTCTAACAGCTTTTCCCATTTTCTCCGTTCAACGTCTAGGTCAATATTGAAATCTCGTCTTCAATGCTTTCTTTAATGCTCGGAACATTTTGACAGGTAATAACGCATCCAAGCTTCTCAAAACAAGGTCGTGATGACACTGATGTTCGCCTTGTCTTTTTCATGTTCCTGCTTTAAACAGTCACAGCATTTACATTTCCAGAACGGCTTCTACAATTCCCTTTGGCTTCATACAAATTATCCCCGTTTAAAAATATGAATAGATATACATACGGGGAACAAAAAATTCTGGAAAACATGAGGTAGAAATCAGTACTGTACCGATCAGAGCTGCTGGGAGAGAGTTTGTATGGCTTCTCATCCACAGCACAGAAGTTCATATTTTTTCATTCTGAGCAGCTTGTTACAGCAGCAGAAGTTCCTTGAATCATATCCGATAACTCTCAAGACATCAATCTTGTATACATGGAAATATCCTAATCAATAGACAGTTTGATCATTCTCAACTTTATACTGTATTGTTTTACTAGGATTGCCCGATGACAGAGGAATATCGAGAATTTTTCGATTTGTGCATGTGTTTACCAGATACTGTAATCAATTCCACGTTATGTTCAGGGTAGATCTCCAATCATCCGGATTCGATCAACCGCGTAAAGTAAATTTCAGTTAATCGTCGGCAAATCTCGACGCATCACGAGGTAACAAAGCAGTCGGCTTAACAGCCTTCACCCGTTAATTTAACTTCTGCCGCTTTGCGAGCATTTCCTTCTCACCGATTATAATCGCCGAAGCCAAGGCACGTCGAGATCAGCGGGAATTTTGGTTATACGTCAGGATAACATGTTAAAATCATCGCTCATCGTTTGAATTTGTCGCTTTAATTTAGCTGAATAGCAGTTTTATTCTTGATAATCTAAAACAGTGTTCCCCAATCTTTTTTGGCCAACAGACCGGCAAATATCCATAAAATTTTTCACGGACCAGAAAATTAAAAAAAAAATGTTCTGAGGAACAGCAACGTCTTTAAAAAAATTTTGCACACTCAAAAAAGTTTTGCCTGAAATACTTTATGGCAAGTATTGAAAACGTTTCTGCTTTTTTAGAAAAAATTCAGTTGAGAACCAATGAAGCAGGTATAGTCGAATGTCTTCAAAAAATTGGAAAGGTGTGCTTGAACGAAAAATATATCAAAATGAAAAATTGAAATAATTTATTTCAAAAGATAAAAATTTGGTATGTTTTACTTGAAAAAAAGCCAACTATTCTCATGAAATTTTTAAAACTGCAATTGTCTTAGTAAAATTTCAGATAAAGATACGGTATCATCCTTCCCTGATAGTTTTGATAAATACTGTATATCATTCTCGAGAACATTTCATGGGGACCGGCAACAAAATTCCACGGACCAGCGCCGCTCCGCGGACCCCTGGGTGGGGAACACTGATCTAAAACATTTGATTATTTGAGGAAAGGCAGCCGATCATTAGCCAGGATCATCGTAATTTTTCTCTTGTTTGTAACAGACAGACGACAATGGAGGACTCCGTAACTAAGAATGCGTTTGGTTTCCACTCGGGTTGAAAAATGACGGGCACATACTGTACAAGAACCCTACATAAGCGTGGAATAAAGCAGTCACGAAGGTACAACTTATTCAGTTGCTTAGCCGCAACGAGCACGAAAACACATATCTTGCCCGTGAAAGTCTCAAGAGAAATGAGTCAGCTGAATTGCATTAGGGCTTATGCAGCAGAGCTTTATGAGCAGCATAAAAACCTGCAGCCGGGTGTTTCCGGACTATAAGAAGGTGAACCGTCTCCTCGGCCTCGGCGAGGAATGTGCCGCGTTATACGAATCATTGCGGCTGCCGTTGACTCCAGATAGTCATGCTCCGGGGCGAAATCGCGTCCCTATCTGCCTCTAGCACGAGGTGCAATGAACGGTGTCAAATGGGGAATTTGCGTGCTGTGCGAAACCAGCCCCCGGGCATCAAACGACGTTTCAGAACCAATTTATTATTTTAGCCCCTTGCTTATCTCTAGATTCAGTTCGCTCCCTGAATCGTACACATGGCACACTCGGCGCACAATATGCCGACATCAAAAGCGGGACGTACGATGATTTCATAGGACTGAACACAGAACCTTCATCCGGGACGCGTGCCATCGGCTAGTGCACTCCGAAATATTTGTTTGCAACGTGCAACTCGGAGCATCTCCTGGATTTTTAATTCCGAGTGATGACGTGCTCTCTTCGGAGGAGACGGGGCACAATTTCCGGTGCCGCCGGCGACTTGTTTCCTCTACTGCAAGTCGTAAAATCGTAAACACCACTCGGAATAAAAATCATTTCCTGGGACTGAGCTCAGTTGCGTGACTCCACTCGCCTTGTGTACGCCTCTTATATCCGACGGATGTTCGAATTCTTCCCTCGATCAGGGATCCTCAAAGAAACGGGATAGTTTTTTTTTCGCGCAAAACTACTGAACGTCCATTTTGTCAGCAGACGATTAGGATCGAGTCTCGTAGGCGTTCTCAGCAAACCACGAAACCGTTCTACTCAAAAACGTAACGACGCGGAGGGAATCCCACCAAGGCTTTTATCGTCGTATCAGTCTCGTCTCAGGGTTTTCAACGCTTTTCCAGCGGAGGAAATCGATAATTAAGTGTGGACGGCGAAGTTCGGAACGGTTTTAACGCGGGTATCGATTTTACTGAGAATCGTAACACCCAAAGTCATCATCACGTCTTGGAGTGCGCTTTTTCAATCCAGACACATTTCTCTGAGAAATTAACGATGAAAGGTGGAAGAAACGTCATTTTTCAACTGGCCAATTTAGACAAAATCACGTACAATACAGTATGCAATAATGCTAACGGTTCGTGAAACGAGGGCAATTTCCGGACGAAGAACGAAAACAAAAATCGAAGACCAGAAAAGCAATCTGAGAAAAGGTCCAATAATATTGACCGGATCACATTTTCCCTTCCTTGATGCATCTCTTGAATCCCTAAGCATGGTATTGTTTTGGAAGGACGAAGAATGATACGAACCCTTTCCGCACTATAGGAATTCTTGCTGTACGCTGAATATTTAAATATTTTAAAGTTGCAAAACCTTTTCATTATTTTGAATAAAAAAATTTCCGTCAGTGAATGAGTTTTTCATTCTATTGTATGGCACTTTCAAAATCATTCATTACTTGAGGGAAAAATAAATATTTCCAAGGATTCTTGATCTAGTAAAACAATGTGAATACTCTTTTCGATGTTCTTCGTCTGCTGAATGCTTTTTTTCTTGTTAAGGGACTATCGAACGGTCGTAAAATTATTTTTTAAAGAACCAGGACAGAATACGTCAGACGGATTACGTACATTTGAGTAAATCATGGATGTGAGGGGATCGGAAGTTGTAGGGTTCACAAGGAACGCCTTGGACGAATTCGTCCGGGGCGATGAGGGATTCGGTTTGTTTTGAGATGGGTAGGGAAAGGTGAGGATCTATTTGAACTATTTCTAGCGAAAGTCCCCGCTGATTCCCAAGATGTTATCTACAAAAATAACGACATTCTCGCTTCAACTCGCTTAAAGACCTGAGCTTGATCCCAGCACAAGAAGCCGGCAAATGGCACCAGGAAATCCCCACTGAAAGACCGAAGCGAGTCTAATTCGCATCTTCTCTTTCCCGATAGCGACCCTCTTATACTGTAGCGCGATTTTTTCTTCCGGTTTCCGTGATTCGGAGAGAACAGAATCCTCTGATGTGAAAGTTAGAGAAAGAAAGCTATACAATGACCTGAGTTTGCCTTCATATGACTGACGAAACTTTGTGCCAGTAGCGATTCGCTTCATTCCGTCGTTGAGAAGTACTCCGAACTAAATGCTTCCTTCAAGTGCGGCCCGTGTAACATTTGCACTCGCACTAATTGCGGCGCAGTCAAAACTGCGATGCCGTCAACAGCAATTACTTTGTGTTAGGTTTAATCTTCACAGCGAGTCGCAGATTTAAGTCACGCGCTCATCTCTTCACCGGTTGAAGCTGTTGTACTGCGTGGGAAACGAAAGTACAGTATACAGAATGCGCGAAGAAGCTCTTAATCCGTTATTTGTGTATGTAAATATAATCTTAGGGAGCTTTGTGCATACCAGAGTTCGTTATGCATATTTAAATCATCTTTCAGCTCAAAATTCCAGCGATAAAAAAGGAAATCTCACTGCATAAAAGCGATACTCGCCCCTAAAATGTCCCACTCGCATGAGAATTGAAACTCAGCTGTAGTGGTGGCATTATATACTCGGAATCTACTTTTCTGAAAAACCGGGAATACGATTTAGTCCTTAACACCCCAGAAAAGACCAAGAAATCCTATCCTGTTCATTTTTCTACCAGTTTAATGCACGTCTCTACCATAATCTAAGCCATAATCTAGAGAACACCGAGTACATACATTAGAAAATAAGAAAGCAAAAAACTAGTTGCTGTTGTACCATCATACTAACTCATTGCTCACAAGTGTTGATAGGAATCTCATGGGAATGGTTTCCTTATCAACTACTTACTACAGTTCAGTACTAGATTCCTGAAATCAACGTATCACCGCGTATCCGCCAAACCCCACATGGATCCTGAGCCCGAGGGGTATCGTCATCCCTACAGAGCCATACGACGGAACTGCTGTGGTCAACCCGGCTCTGATTACCCTTACTTTCATCGACTATATGCTAAAATCTCGATTAATTCAGAGGGAAAAAAAACGACTTGAATAATTTTAATCAGAAATAGAGTATTTGCAAGCCCTCGGACTGACCATATTCCTTCCTCACAATTATTAAAAAGCCAATCAATAAAAACAAAAAGATAAACAGCAGCAAATTGAAAAACAAAAAATTTAACCTTTTTGGATCGCTTATTTGGCTTCTTTCAAGGGATAGCATAATTTTGCCGCGTCGAATTATTGGTATTTGATTATGTATGATAGTTTGATTGCCTGGGGTAATAATTTGATTATTCGGGGGGGGGGGGGGAGGCTACCAGGATAATCGAAGTCGTACTGTATTTTATTCAAGTAATGATTCAAATTTGTTAGAGGTCATAATGGTTCCGAACAAAGGACGATAATTTTGTTTCAGGCATCCATGCGTAGGTAGACGAACGCAGTTCGGTAGGACACTGAACGTTGATTTCTCATGAAATCTTGTTATCCGTCGATGTTGTCAATGGCGACTCTGTGGTTGTCACTCGTGATGATCAATGCGCGTGCTTCAACATCCCTTCGGGACCTCGTTACTCAGCGTAACTTGGAATCTAATCTGTGGGTTTTGTATAGCTCCATTACTTGCTGAAGTGAGCCTGGTCCCTTTCATGCTTCGCACATTCAGCCTTTGCATGCGGGCTTACATGAAAGCGCTGGCACCCACTATACCCAGCTCGACGCAATACTGTACCTCTCGAAACTGAAACCTATAAGCGCTCGAAGAAGGGAAAAAATCTCTCCTCTGCTTGATGTTTCAGTCTCAGCTATACTTTCCATGGTTGGGCCCTCAGCTCGCACGAAAGTGAAATTTACTAAAGCAACGTTCCACCAAGTCCGCGATCAGGTACGGTGACTTAGAAGTACTGTACTTACCGATTTATCGTCGAGTTGTTTCACTCGGCACATCAGGTACGACTGGGAGCCAACTTGCACCGAAACTGCCTTCGGAGTTTTGTCGAAGTATGGCCCTGGGTAAAGACCTCTGGATTCCAATCCTGCGCCTTGAAAAGTTCCCTGGAGTGAGTTGTGGCCGCCGGATGGACTCCAGCGAGAACTCTGAGAATTGTCGCCGGAGACCAAGTCTGAAACAAAATCGTTGTGCATGTATTATTTATGAACGTATAATAAACCTCGAGGGGACTACTGATCCCCCGAAAGCTGTATTTCAGTCGGAATTCATGAATACTGAGAAATTCCTACATTTGCCCGAATATGAGATGCTCTCGATGGGAAAAGCAAATATCATTTTTGTGCATAGAACTTTGAAACGTTTACCTTGGAATATAACATGTGAATTTATTAAATTAAATTTCCCCAGAATCAAAGTCCTGTACAATATTCCATTGACTCTACTACTCTCGTTCAAGTTAACAGCATACTCTTTTCAAATACAGTACATGAAAAACTTAGGATTCCAACTTTTGTAATCGTGAACTGAAACTTGTAGCTTGTCAAATACATCTCTAGAATATTTTTATGAAAGATTGCTCGATCGGGAAAAAGCGGTGCTCCCTATCTGCAAACCTTTTTCATCATCAAATGATGACCTTCAGAAAAATTCTGCATTCGCCATCGAATACAGTCCGTACCGGATTTATCCAAGCCAATTTCTGTTGATACAGGTACAGTGCGCCTTACGTATGACTGTATTCTAGTAAAGTAAGGAAACAATTATATCGCAAAAATCTTGAAAGACCGATGCGAGAGAACTCGACGGGTTGGCTTCTTGATCGGTTATCTTTGAGAATCAGGTCACGAAAATATCTTAATTGGCATCGTTGACATGGCTGAGATAAGAAATAGGAAGAAATCATGAGTACCCCCGCAGTACTGACAAGAAAAAATAGCGCCGGAAATCTGCAGTTGCTCGCTGCGATGCGTGGGCGAGATAAAGGCGATGAGGAAATTCAAGGCTTCGTTTGGGTGCAGAAGCCACATCCTATCGACGTCTGGTAGACATTTTTTGCGCACCCAGCATGTGTGACCCCAGAGAAAAATGAAGAATGCCGAGACAGTTGTGCCAGCGAGATGAACGTTATTGATGGCATTCTTTGTAATCAGCCCGTATGACTATAGCAGCTATATGCTTGCCGGGCTCCGGACATCCCCGCGACGTGTTGGTTGACGGCACTAATGACCCCGACAGGAAGATGGGCCACACGAAAGGGAAACTAGGAGGAAGTTTACCCCCCGGGGTTCACGGCGCACGGAAACCTGCATGACCTTCTTCAGCTGAACACTGAACAGCAGTCAACACTCTCAACAACGAAGCATCGCTTCATATTACCTCGCGCCAGATTTACTTGCCTTCGACGCCAAGGACTCATGCACCGCAATGTAATTAATTATACTGCCGTTGTGAGCATGCTTTTAGAGAGACCGAAAGGCGACGGAGATTTCGATTGATGATGACATACAATTAATTCATGATCGACACGCTTGACTCCTTGCCTTGAGCGTGTGTGTCAAGTTAGTACTGTACATAATCTTCCTCCGAAACGAGTCAAGCCTAAAAAACGCTGATGCGTAGAAAATTGAAATTCAGTTTTCATCCACCGATACCAACCGGCTTATTCCAATATAGGCAGCACCATTCAAAAAATAAGTTCAGCACATTCACCTGGAATACTGCCTATGATATCCATGCCCCACTCAAACACACGATAATTGTTTGCCGTAAATTATTCAACTCAAACAGATTTAGTAGACAAAGGTACGGCCTCTTAATTGATGTTGCTCGTACGCACGCACTTCGCGTAAATACTGATAATCTGAAAGTTGCATTAATAATGAATTCGAAATAAATGCTTTAGAAATATGTTTCTTCATTATACAAGCATGCACACACCAACAAAGGAAATCGATAAAGGATGTCCAGCAGAGTACATCGGTGAAATGTGCCAAGTGCATCAATCAATGTTGTGTTCGAAAAGCTGGCATAGGCACAACACGCATTTTATTCAGAATTGAAACTTCTATATTCTACATTTAATTTCCGATCTGATGCGAGGGTGAGCGCCGCATGCAGGGTGCGCAAACTTATTTCAATTATTTTCTTTTGTAGATTGAAATTATTGTACTGTACATACTTGCATATCTCTATTCATGATTGAATGGGGTTGCGAATCATCGGTCAACATGAGATAAATTGCAATCTTTAGCCCTACCGTTGAACATTCGAAACAAGGGTAAGGGAATACAGTAATGGACAGTATTTTTACAACTTAGAAAACCTTAGAAAACATGCTTCTTGTTGACAGAAAAACTAGATGTACTTTTTTCTTATCACGTGGCGAGCTCTAATTTTCTCAAAAATATAATCAAGCATAGCTTTTATCCCGTTGACTGAAATATAAAAAAAGTGAATGAAATTTTTCCAAATTAAAAATATTCCTAAAACAGTTCTACATTTTTGGAATCGAAAAGTTTTCAAAATTCTTTCACGTGTTATTTCAATTTTAGCAGTTTGCTTGTCTCCTTTCAAATGTTGCTGATCTGTGTACCGACAGCGTTGAGTATTGGCGGAGTGACAAAAATTAGAAGAGAAAAAAAACACTGGTCAAACATCTTTTTTATAAAAATGTATATCATATACTGCATTATATTTTGAAATAAGTAAGAGATTTCCAAAAATAATCCTGAAGTTCATTACAATAAAAAGGAAAAAAAAACACTCCTGTAAGATGCAGGATGTTCCTTGTACAATACTGTATACTAGGTTGCTGACTTTCAATTCGATATGCCGTATAGACTGGATAACATAGTTAGTAGGTCCCACGAATATACTTCTGCTATAAAATGTAGCATTTAAAAACCATCAGGTGTCTGCCATACAAGAGAAAGACTAAAATTCCTGTTCGGAAAAATTTTAAATGCGCTAATTTTGTTCACGTTTCGTGTGGTTTGTGCATACCTGTACGAGTTTCATACTTGGAGACACTCGGTAAAATGACAAAGATTCATTTACTGTATCCCGATTCTCCTTTTCCTTTCGTCGAAGCTAGAAAAGCGCCGATCATTTTCTGTCTTTTTACCGATAAGCAAACACGTTATGATAAAAGTTTAGAAACATTTTTTTCATGGAGAACGAGTTCCTCATTGAAATTAAGGACGTGAATTTCCCTCATAAGACGACGAAACCGAACTTTAACTGCCTAAAAGGGATCTATGACTTTCGGATATAAAAATACTATACGGTATATGCCGGGATTATCCGAACAGTTCCACAATAACAAACTTCAATAACTACTGTGCAGCAGTGCCTTATTACAAGGCTAAAATCTGATAAAGTTGCCGAATGTTCCGAGTGTTTTGGGCCCCTGATTTGCTCTACAGAGAATGGTTGAAATTGGAAAATCATCTTGAGCGTCTCAAGGTAATGTCTCATTCAAGCGCTCTTCAAGGTTCATTCGACATCCGACATTTACGACGGAATCGCTCTCTAACATCAGTCAAGCGTTGTCACGTTGCTGCGCTGATGCGTTTCACTGGTGTCAAAACGTCAAGACCGTCTTGGAAATTCGAAAGAATTGTGTTCGACGGTTGGAAACACAATAAGATAATATTTGTTCGTTCATATTTTTCTTTCAACGGAGAGCACCATTTATACCACGTGAATGCATTCTACAGTTTTATGAATGAAATCCTGTCGAACGTGCTGGTCCTATAAATTTTGCTGCATTCTGTGCTCGCAGTGCCGCAATATTTCCCATGTCCATTCGATAGGCGTGAGATAACATTCCCTTGATTAATGGGTATTTTTTCTGCAGCTTCAAAGAAAGCTGAAAGTATTTCAAGTTGAAAGGAAACTTTTTCGTCTGCAAACTTCTCCAGGTGGATTTTCAAGAGGAAATTTGAGTTCAAGTATAATACGCAGGTAACTAGAACTGGGTATCTTCCCAGTTTAATAGATTTATGGATATACAGTACCACATGGTTCTGCAAGTATGTATTTAAAATGAGCAGTAAGTAAGTAACTCATTTTTGACGCCTGGACCAGCTTTCTTCTTTAAAGCCCAAATCATGGAATCATTTTTATTCTACGGGAAACGTCAAGAAAAACTGGGAATACGGGTAGCAGCGGGACCAATAATAATTCCATCCCTGATTATTCCGAATGCTGCTTTAGTTGATGAATGCTGCATTCATCAACTAAATTCTGAATGCTGCACATCAAAGTTGCCATACATTTTCAGGAAGTAAAGGCATATCGTAGTACTGTCATTGAGAAGGTTAATACGGGAACAAAGCTTTGTGTAAAATTTGTTGACTACCAGATATCTCCTCGGACGGACATTTTTGTGGAGCCAAGCTTTTCGTTATTGCCATTCATCTTTTGTAAAACGGAAGTGATGTTAACCAGGTGCATTTGACTGTTGAAAGTTATTTTTTTAATTCGCTAAAGAATGCTTCTGAATGATATTTTCAAATGAATTTGACTCATGCGAACGTACAAAAATGATTCAGTTGTTTAGTTTTCAGTATTTTTTTGGTTCTTCCAAGTCACGTCGTTTCTGCAGTGTTCCGGTTCTAAGGCATGCACCTCCCACATATGAGTTCGCAAAATTAAGATGAGGAGCCCGCTGATGATTGTTAATCTTCAATCGAATAATACCACAAAAATTCAGCAAGGTAGGAACCCATTCTCACAGAGTAACACCAGCCTGTCGACACCGGAATAGTACTGTAACAAAGAGGTGGGATCGCACCAGTTTCTATGAACAGGTGCAAGTTGGATGCGAGCTCCCAGCATATGAAGTAAGCATGCTGTACTCGCGATTGAGTGTAGAATTCACGCATTCCAATTCAACTGAAAAGTACAAAGAATTGCTTCTCTCCCCGGAGTACAAATAATGCTCGAATTATTCAAATCGATTAGCAGAGGTTGGTGCGAGGGTCTTCAGCATTTTCTATCGATGACGGTTATTGGGGGTCAGCAGGGCGACGACATCGCAAAATGAGGTTTTCCTTCTCCGGCTTGTCGATTCAAATCCCGAAAAGGACGTCGCATTTCGTATGGGTGTCGGGTGCTTAATTTTCACGATTCGCTGTTTCCCTCGACGGGTCTGACTTTGGAGTAGAAAAGTGGGATGGTGGCAGGGAAAGCCCCGGGGCTCGCATCTCTGAGCCGCGACTCAAGGCGATGAGTATGTGCGGCATTTGAATCACGTCGCTCTGAGCTCTTTCTATCCGAAAGATTTGCGGAGGTCGCAAGGGTATCGAAGTGCTCCTCGGGGAGATTTTGAAACGGGAAGATATGAAAGCACCGGGGGCCCGATTCCACGCATTTGCGGGAAATACATTTGCTCGCGTCCCACCTACGTTCCTTCGCACAAAGAGTTTCTTCGGCTGCTGAGCGTTTTCTTCCCCGCGGATTCCGCCCCTCTCAAGGAATCGTCGCTATTGGCTATCGGTGACTTGAGCGCGATGATGGCGATCCGATACCCGATTCCCGGCTTCAGGGAGAAGATACAATAAGGATTGATGCTATGGTTCAATTGCTATTCTTGCAAGTCTGGTTTATGTCGCCTGGCGTGCCTCGCAGTCATCCATGAAAAACGCGAACAGTAAATTGGGGAGAAACCAGCCAAAGTTGGCGTTCGACGACAGGGAGGAAATGCAGCTTGGGTTAGCTGATCTCAGATCTAATCATTGGCGCGATGAATGCGGCTCATCCCAAACTTCTGCTCCTCATTATACGTGCGTTGCGTTCGCGGAAATGTAACTTGAATTTCTGAAGGTTACCGTCAACGCTGTCTTCGAAAACAAATTTCGCTTACTTTACCATCTACGTTCCCCAACGAGCAACGAAGAAGGCAGGATCCCTGATATGCATGATAAATGGCAGCTTCAAGGCTGTTTTAAAATTTATTTTCTCGTCTGGAGAGCGTGCAAGCTAATCGCCTGCCTTTTGATACGAGGCAGACGTTCTCCATTTCATATACTATGCATCTCCTAATCGTAAGTGCGAGCGCGGGGGCCAGTTTATACGGCGTAACTTCAAAAGGAATGGAGAACGATGTTAATTCCGAAGGTTTCATATGGTTCACCCGCTCAACGTGAGATCGGCGGGAATCTTTTCCACATCCAGACAGGTACTCAAAGAAACTCGATCTTCACTATGCTTGGGAGAAGCGGGAATAGAAGTTTGACGGTGACCCCGAGTAACGTTCCGGTCGGGAGGAAATCGGTGAACTCCGCGGCTTGATGAAGCGCCGCTGGGGAAAATAAAACGTGACCACGGCGACCGAATGGCTTGGACCATGATTCACCAGGCAAGCGTCTTGGCAGATAGAGACCTTACAAATGATCCCTTGCTCTAGCGAATTCTGGTGGAGATGCTTCGCGTTGGAGCTAGGAGGGACTCGCGAGCTTCTCTGCTGGAGTCACGTTATCTTTTCGTCAGAGTACTGGAATTAATTGCATTCTCTTTCAACAAAGCCATCGGTGTAGAAATAGCGGAAACAAATCAGTCATATACAAAATATAGCATGCACAAAATATAAGTCTGTATGTACTGCACTGTACTGTACTTGCTGACAACAGCAGCATGAAAAGATTCTCGTGTCACTCCAAGATGACTGCATTACAATATATTGAGATATACAGAAAAGACTGCCGTCCTTCTGCCAACCGTCTTGTGGACGTGGGAGAAAGACCTCTCTCATTTGCACTCCGGAGCATTATTTCTGAGCCCCAAGAGCTCGGTTCCTCGATTAATTACACGAATGTCGATGGTGGCGGAGATATATCTTCCTCTGGCAATAAAAAGCGGTCGAAATCTTTCTATCCAGTCGGTGATTAACTTCTCTGGTCTGACAATGTGACGTTGTGAGTTCTATCTAATTTTGTTAAGTACTCCCCGACTAGCCGAGTCCCAACTTTGAACGAAAACTAGTCGTCCAAGTTCACGTGTTACAATACTTTGAAGTTTCCGGTCCGGATTTCTGCGCGAAAACTATGTGTGATTTTCTTCCAAAAGTGTCGAAATATAAATCGATTCGACGGCGAAGAACTTCGCGTAATGATATAGTCAGCTACTGATACTATTACTGTATTGTAATAACGAGAACAGATAATATATAAGCATTCTTGAAAGCTTACAATATGCGCTGATCCTCGCCAAATAAGAGGTTACTTCACTCTCACTGCACGACGGCAGCGTTGCGTGGTTGCATATGGAATAATCATTTTCATGGAAGGTTTTCGACGGACGGGAAATGTCACCCTGCGTACAAGCTGTCCATGCATGCATATTGTTTATTCAATTATTGCGAGCTCGTGACTATAGGGCATTTTTCGCGTTTTTTGTAGCACAGCATAAACCGTCTTTTCGGATTAATTATTCAAAGATAAGAGAAAAATCAGCTAGTACGCGGCCACTTTTTCAGGGGTAATTCCTCTTGTCCGTGCCAGTCATTCTACTCTACTGCAACACAGACGATCCAATTCAAAAGAGAACGGAATGAACTTTGATCTTTTCTCTCTCTCGAAATAATAGCCTGCATGCCTCTGTAATTTTAACAGCTTTAAAAACTACTAGTTGCACTGCTTCACTTACGTATGCAGTATATTACGAATTTTCTTTCCGCTTCTGCGATCTTTCTAACATTTCGGACGCGTGGGTCGTTGCTGCTCAGTTGACTGGAAAATTTTCAGAGCAAAGCCATGCTTGGGCGAAATCAAGCATCACGAATTAACGATTTCCGTTTTTTCTCTTGCACTCGCTTGCTCCGTCCTGTTTTTCGTTCTCGTTCGTCAATTTATCCGGAATGTGAAAATACTGTAAATGCTAGTTCGAAAAGAAAATATTAGCAAGAGTCCTTGAAGTGGGCCATCCCATAATTAAGACAAGACATGACGCAAGACTAGCGAGAGGAGTTGCGCAAATTTGTTGGATTTATCAGGCAAAAATCCTTGAATTAAATTTTATAGTACAGTACTGTACTCTACCTTATACTGAAACATCCTTGATAATGGTAATTTTACTGGAAAACTTTCCAGAAATTATGGGAATTTTTATTGAGTAAACCCCGTATTCATTTATTCTTATTCGTAGGAAGCCGCATAAATCATCCCTCGTATGCTGGTAGACAACATCATTCATAGAATTCCTGGGAGAATAGACGAGCTCATGGCTGTTATCTTGACCGCTGCGGATAAAAAGCAGGGGTCAGTTGAACCTGCGAGATTAGGATCCCTCTCCGGGGTTAATCTTGGTAGCATACCTTTGAATATCCCTACAGGTTGGTCCAGAATGCGGCATACCATTAAACCTAAAATGATCTGAAATAAGCATTAATGAACGATGCGAAGAAAACTCGTAATACAGAGGTACAATATTGTATGCGTCCAATTTAATGTATTTCTAATGTGTACTTGAATTCAGATTCCCAGTGAACATATCCCCAGCATTCAAAAACAGTGCTCATTGAAATTCGTGCGATGTTCCTGGGTCACCTACTAATCAGCTAACTTACATCCCATGAAAGATGGGATACATTGTACGCGATTCGAGGTACTGTATAACGGCAATTTTCAAAAAACATGTGAATCTACCTGTAGTAACCATGTTCAAGATAACTTATTCCCCTTGCCTTCGCCAATCTCGAGGTGCGGTAAGTAAAGGTCAGCCGCGCTTACTTCAGTAGCACCGATTTTTCACCAGTCGATCCCGATAGCAACAGTGTTGACAACTCGATGATTTCCTGCCCCTCCCAAGACTCCCCCTGCCCAATTGTGGTATCTTATTTATGACGATTGCTTCCGGTATCCAACTCATCGAAGTGTACGTGCTCGCAAACGACTATCGGAGTAGAAGAAAATAGGTCACGTATTTCTTGGTTCATTTTGGAGGGGGGCTACGATCAACCGTGCTGTCAGAGGCGTCCGTTCTCTAGGGTTTCTCACCAGAAAGGGAAGTGTTTCAAACAGTTTAATGAATCCGGCACCGGCAGCAGGGCCTCGATAAACAGGATGGTAACGCATCTTCCCATTCTTCAAGAGCTTTTTCTTTTCCTTAATTACTCCAACAATCTGAGGCCCTGTTCGTTTCCCATTTCCCCGGCTTCCTGTGCGAGTGCTTTCTCTCACATCCTTGCGCTAAGCGATGTTTCACCTTCGATTCACCGACCATTTACCGACGATGTGAGCGTCAAGTTTTATTTTGGACGAGTACAATCGAATCACTTAATGGCTTCTGTGCGTCAATTGAATTGACCTTCTGACACGTGAAAACGCATTTGAAGTAAGTACACGAATACATCAATTGGTAGATGAGGACTGTGATAGATTCAAGTTCATGAGGCAAAAATCGATAATTTAATTTATATTTATTTCGCTTATCTTCCAAAATCAATTAATTGTTTTTGGGCTGATCTTAGCCACTTCTGGCAACAATTTATCGAGTCAAGTGTTCAAATCAGTAATTATGAAAAAATGAAAATTTATTATCATCTCCGATGGATGGTCTATGACGGAAGTGACTGCCGATTTAGTTTTTCGGAATGCTACTAGAGAAACGTTAGTTCAATTAATTCGTTACGCTTCCATGATCAATCAATCTGCAGAATGTTAATCTAGATTCTAGACCATTTACGTAAAACCATTCCTTGAGACTTGGCTTAAGGAGCGTGTCATTTAATCATCTTCAGAAAGAAAAATGAATCAGCATATGCACGTACGTCAATGTACCTTATTGTTCATACTCTAAAATTCAGTGATACAGTATTTTTATCGAGAAGCTTAAACAAAAATATTTTTCTACCTGGAATTGAGTTTCCGGAGCTTTTGATCTGACAGTTCTGTGTTTTTCGAACTGTTTATTCCACGTCCAGTCGACGACTGTACCGAAAGTGGTTGATGTTTCTTATACAGTATAGGATGTTTATCAAATCCCATAGATTCCTCCTAGTCTTAATCAGATTTTTCCAAGTCTTCAATGGAACGACGGAAAGCCTAGAATTTTCGCGTAATCGGGTGCCACGCTATCTTTTACTTACTGCTCCTCTCTCATGGCGTAATTTTTATTTTTATTTTAGATAGAACAGGATTCTCGTTTGTTTCTTTTATGCCTATACCCTTCCGGTTAAGGATCATGTACAGTAATTCTAAGCGACGAGAGAGCGTCTGTTATTTTCAGCTTTCGCCGAAAATTCACT